CCAGCGCGTGCTAGGGGAGCTCCAGGGACGGGTTGGCCTCGTGCCACCCGCGGAGGTCGTGACGCATCTCTGCCTTGCAGCACAACCATGAGTGCGGGCTCGATTGAGCAGGAGCCGTCGCGCAAGCTGGCCTGCTGCGGGGTGCCCCTCATCACCGAAGACATGCAGTCGCTGGCCATCCGCACCCTCTCGGGCACGGACATCAACAAGCACTACGACCTCATCCGCGAGCTCGGCAAGGGCACCTACGGCAAGGTGGACCTGGTGTCCCACAAAAGCACAGGTGAGGCACGGGGACGCGGCCGTGGCGCGCGGAGGAGGGAGTGGGCAGGAGGCTGCCTGCCTGCACCATCTCGGGCCAGCGCAGCAGCCGCAGTCATGGGGCTTCGTACACCCTTGCTGGACGCGGAGGGATTGCACCCAGGTCTGTGGGTTTACTGCTTCCCAGTTTGGCACGGTGACTGAGCACTGGAACAGGTTGCTCAGACAGGTTGTGGAGTCTTCTTGCTTGGAGATAGTCAAAATTCATCTGGAGAGGGTTCTGGGCAACCTGCTCTAGATGACTGCTTGAGCTGGGGCTTTGGACTAGATGATCTCCAGAGGTTCCTTCCAACCTCAACCATTCTGTGATTCTGTGAACCGCATGTCAGCTCCCGTCCTGGCAGGCAGCCAGGGCAGCTGCCTTCGCCTCAGCAGTGCCCTGGGCAGAGCCTGGGCGCTGACACCCACGCTGGTCCTGTCCCCACCGCAGGCACCAAAATGGCCCTGAAGTTTGTGAACAAGAGCAAGACGAAGCTGAAGAACTTCCTGCGCGAGTTCAGCATCACCAACACGCTCTCCTCCAGCCCCTTCATCATCAAGGTCTTTGATGTGGTCTTTGAGACGGAGGACTGCTACGTCTTTGCTCAGGAGTACGCTCCCGGCGGGGACCTCTTTGACATCATCCCACCCCAGGTGAGAGCCTTCTGCTCGAGGTGTTTTGGAGTCCCTGGGTGGGCACGAGGGCTCCGTGTCCCCAGGGCACATAGCTCTGCGAGGTGCCAAGCCTGGGCATGGGGTAAAGGTGCTGAGCCCCCCCTCCGAGCATGCCTCAGTGCTGCTGGGACTCTTTGCGGGAGATGATGCATCGCTGCACGGTCAGCCCTGACGAGAGCTCCAGGACCCAGAGCTGGGCCCCTCACCCATAACCACATCTCCCGATGTCTTAGACCCATTGTGGGATGTGATGGGGTGTTTCTTTCTGGCCAGCAATCTCTCCTCCCCATGACAGAGAAGGGGCAAGGAAAGAAGAGGTGGGCTGGAAAATTGAACGAGGAAAAAAAGGAGAAGTCATACGGAGCAAGGAGGAGAGACACAGAGCGAACACCCCGAAGAAAATCAGACCTAATTGAATTGGAAGCGTAATGAAATCTTAATGCAAAAGGAATAAAAGGAAATATGATTATGCAGTGTTAGCTGGTGCTGTGGCACAGGGCAGAGATGGGCACGCGGTGGGGAGCCCCGGGGACGCCTGCGGCACAGGGGTGCAGGTACCCCCGGCCCCACGGCGTGCTGCCTGCCCCTTATAGCTCTGACCCTGCCGGGGCACAGGCTCCTTGCTCATGGCCCGTCCCTTCCTGGGGGAAACTGTTGCTCATGGAGCTGAGGAGAGAAATAACAATTAAAGACAGCCCAGAAGTGGCTCCTCCTGCTCCTCCTGCCCTTGGTGGCCACCGCTAGGCTCCCGGGAGCTGGGGGATCATGGTGGCAGGGTGCTCGCTAACGCTCTCCGTGTCCCCCTGCCCGCAGGTGGGGCTCCCCGAGGACATGGTGAAACGGTG